GAATACTTTAATATAAAATAAAATAAAATTAAATAAAATAAAATAAAAAACACTGTTAAAGGTGATAGCTGTGAAGAGAAATATTAGTTTTACGTATATCTTTTTTATCTGATATCAAATAATCATTTTCCAGTTACCTTTGTACGGCATTTCTTTTGTGCGTCTATAGTTTTGCTATGAAAAAAATACCGGAACTCGTGTTGCGCAAAGGATTATGGTCTATATGAATGAGGCGCCATTTTGTTCAACAACCAGGAAGTAACAGGACGGAGATTGTGGGATAATGTTGAACATATTTGACAAAGAAAGAGATATGATCTGACCGACTTGTAGGTATATGGAGCAAGTGTTTATGTTACTGTGATCTCCAAGCTGCAGCATCAGAAGTGAACATAAAGTTTAGCAATCACTGACAGAAATATTACAGGATCTACTGTCGGAATGGAAGCCATGTTAGGGCAGTCTAGACGAGGTGTAAATCCAAGATCAGGACAGGTGACAGTACAGACACAACCTCCATTAGCTGAACAGGAAACAAATACAACATTAGCTACACATCCTAATGTTTTCTTAGAGAAGGCAGAAGGTGTGCATTCCTTTAGTGCTAAACTGGGATATTATGATAGAGAAATAACCTACATAACTGGGTTAGACATAGATAATGAACACATGTTTGTTGTGGATAATAAAAACAACAGAACAAAAGTTTTCACACACGAAGGGCAATTTAAGTTTGTCATTAAAGTAAACTATCCATATGATGTGGCTGTGTCACAGACTGGTCACCTGTATATAACATCAGAGGGTGACAGTTGTGTCCAAGTGTACTCCACCAGAGGTCAGCAGGTGACAACCATGGGTCAGGGTCTACTGGAGTTTCCACAGGGTATTACACTGAACAGACAAGGTCATGTGATGGTTTATGACACTGGAAAGAAGTCCATCTTGACATTCCATGCAGACAGTGGACAGCTCCTGAACACTATTCCAATCAGTATGTGTGGATACCCAGTGTACATCACAGTGAACAGTGTGAATGATAACATTGTGATATCAGACTGGGGCAGTGACACGTGGGGACCCTGTGTACATGTGCTGTCACCTACTGGTGATCATCTGTACCAGTATGACGGCAGCAGAGAAGGCAGTGAACTGAGGTTACCACAAGGAGTGTGCACAGACAGCTATGGTCACATCTTCATTGCTGACTGGGATAACCACAGTATAGTGGCACTGAGTCCACAGGGACAGTTTATCAGATACATTGTCACTGAGGATGATGGGTTGAAGTTTCCCCAGGCAGTAGTCATCAACCCTGCTACTGGTCAACTGGTGGTGGGAGAGTATGACGGCAATGTTAAGACATTCAAGTATTTTCAACTGAAACAAGGTGAGTAACATGTATTAACTGTGGATGGATATGTTTATTACATGTAAAGAATTTGAAAGTTAATTAGTCTTACAATGTTTTTATCCATGAATATGCTTGCCTTTATTTCAATAAAAAACTTTTAAGCATATATTTAAATTTAGTGAGCACACAGCTGATGTTTAGTAAAAATGTAAGAAATTTTCTATAGTACTTTACTGTTTCTGACCAATTTCAATGAACCCATTAGTGATTAGGATTTTGAATATGGATGAAGGACTCTTTTCAATGGAATTTATATTATAATATGCTTCATTTTAATTAATAAGTCACAAGAAAAACATTTTATATTGTTTAATGTCTGAACATGAATTTCTTAGTTTTATGGTAAGCACACAGCTAGGCATATAAAAAATGTACTTAGAGTGTAGAAACTTTTTACTGTTACTGACCAATTTCCATGAACCCATTAGAATTATGTAAAAATGTACTTGGTCTGCTCTAAATTTAAAAAAAAAAATGAAAGTTGATAAAATTCATTCTGAACAGTCTATAAGCCAGGCAGATTTCAATATAATAATATGTGTATTTGTAGGTTGAAAAGTTATTAACTATAGAAAAACCTTCATGTTATAGTCATAATATTTAGTGATCTGCGCTCTGTGAGTGATTTTCTAGTTTTTATCTAGAAAAACTCTACAAATTTTATCCCATGTCTTACTTTTATATAATAATAATAATAATAATAATAATAATAATAATAATGATAATAATAATAATAATAATTTATTGAGCACTAAGATGTTTCAGTACATTTTGCAGGCCCTCTAAACTACTTGTGTTATACATACATGTATTACATATCTAGATCTATTATCACAATAAAAAGTAATAAATAATAGTATTGATAATAATAATAATAACAATAATAATAAGATAAAAATACCTATATTACACAATGACAATTACATTGTTCTGTATTGTGGTAGACTTGCTCATTATTATTGACAGGCTAGTCTTTTTTTAAATGTTTCTTGGATGAAGTGACACACGGTTTTTAGAGAGTGTTCACTTTGAGGATTGAGAAGCCAGGTAAGTTTTTCTACATCAGATGACAGTGTTCATTCTAGGAATGTTTCAATGTGGGACAAAGGGCCCCCAACATTAAAAAAAGTGGGCCATTACATTTTAAAGTGGGCCCTTGTTCAAATCTTGAAATTATAATATGTAACGCATGTTGTTTTACTGCTGTGGTATTTATGTTCAGAGATGAAAAAAAATTATTATAAAAATATTTTGACTAATAGGTGATCACATTCATAAGTAATCCCAATTTTCTAAAACAAAACCCTTGAGGTGACGCTCCAATTTTTGTTAACAAGTATAAGATAACACTAAAATATGTTCACGATTTATTCACCAATAACCAAGTTCTTTCTATAACGACATTTTAAACCCATTTTTGGCTTCAATTTATGAAAAATCCATTTAATTTTACCTCTTCTGTCCTGTCCCATTATCAATGACCCTTGACTAACTGGCATGCATTCATGACTTATGAAATTAA